ACTTCAGACGAAATTCTCCATCAATAAGCTCCTCCTGCCAGAGGCTTCTAAGTAATTCCCACCAAGACATTTTCTTACCGTCCTGAATGAGGACTGGGAGGGGAGCATTTGTTTTTGTTTAATTTTCACACTCGTTATAACGTGTCATTAAACTGACGCCTCCTAGTAATGAGGCTTTCACCTGAGACTTGCAAAGCTTCACAAACATTATTAACAAATACTTTGACGGGGTTAGCAAGACTCCAGCCTCATACTCTTACCATATTATTCTGAAACCATTCATGTGACTCATATAGCGTTCCCTTCTCCAGCATCCTTTCTTCAGAGGGAAACAATACCCGATACCAGTGCACATCACAATTCACCAAGAAGATGCTGGCCAGGCAGACGAAGAGCTAAATCAGAAAGAGGCAGAGACAGAAAGGAAGCAGGACCTACTGTGCACTCTACGTCTTTTGTTTCTTAGTTAGGCCCTGAGGAGTAGTTAACATTGGCCAGGCCTCTATCAATCTTGACATTCAAAAAAATACATTCTTATTTACTTGTGAGGGAGTGATAGGGATCTACATGTGCCACAGTGTGCCTGTGGAGGTCAGAGGACAGGCTGCAGGAGTCAGTTCTCTCCTTCCACCATAGGGGCCCTAAGGATTGAACTCAGTTGACAGGGCTTGGCAGCGAGCACCTTTAGACCGTCCAGCAGGTCTCAAGCTTGGAGACTTTATCTATCACTTTTACTTTCTAGGAAATCTTACCCATGCATACGGCTATGCATACTTATTCCTTCCAAATTCATGTCTTCAAGCCCAGACTCTATCACTTCCACACCACACTTGACTGAGATTTAACCAAGGCCACCTGCCTCCTGCCTTCATCTCCCAGTTACATTTGTGGTTTCCCGGTTACTCGGGTCCTAACTATGGCATCCTTTGCCTCATCTCCCCCCACACACCTGTACTCTATAGTCATCAACAAACTCTGGAATCTCTCTCTTTTAAATATTTCCAGAACCCCTCCATTTCTCGCCCTTCCAGCAGCAACCACCTTAGATTAGGTCATCTTCCTCCGGACGATTACCAACTGATCTCCATGTTTGACTCTCCAGTGTGGTCGCCCAGCCAAGTAGTAAACAGGCCTGACCGTGCTCAGCTTTTGAAAGTGATATGGCAATTGACCCTCCATCCACAAACCTACCTATGTCCAAGGTTCTATACTCCTTCCTGCAATCTCCCCTCATTTATCAGCTCTTTCTTCTTTACTCTTTCAGCTCTTACCTCAAGATTTTCAGGAACCCTGCTCTCTGGGGAACATATTTTTATGCCCCATCCCCACTTACTTTCACAAATAATATTTGTTTAAAGAGACTTTCCTGGACGATGTGGGCCTTGAATCCTAGTAACTGATTATCCTGTTCTTTTTTCACAGAAATATTTTTCTTCACACATAAATATATGTGCTTATATGCACATATACTTACTATACACATATAATAAATATACATATATGTATATAAGAAAGTAGGTGTGTGTACCCATACACAAACACACATACATGCACGCATGCATACACTTGTTAACGCAGGGGCTGGCAAACTATGGCCTAGAATCCATCTAACTCTGACATGTATTTTTATGAACACAAAAATAGGTACATACCACACATACACACACACACACACACACACACACACTTATAAAATTAAAGGGTTATACAGCAGAAACAACAGGAAAATGAATGAAGGACTAACATAAACTGTATGTTGACATTTGCATCAGGTCTTTCACAGAACAACCCTGCCAGCCTGTGTACTAACGTATTGTTCCCTGCTAGAATGTCAACTTCTCCATTCTTCGCTATCATATCACTAGAATATCACCATCCTAGAAGAGTTCCTGGTACAATGAAGATGCTCAATAAACATTTCTATGTGGGTGCGTAAGTGAATGACAGCAATGATTAGTCTCAGTCATCAGTCTCAGGTCACACAGGAAGTTGGCAGATGAGGCAGAATTCAAGCCTAAATTTCTTTCATTCCACAGCCGAGTCCTGAAACTCAGGAGCCATAGTCATTTGAACCTCCTTCATTTCTACCCAGGTTCCCCTTTATACACCATGTCTAACACATATGTTAGGAAGACAACTCTTTGGTGGGTGAAGAAAGGAGACAAAGGTAGACTGTGTTGTGGAAAGCCTTGAGAATTCGCTCCTGAATAAGCTTATGCCTGCCACCTGCCATGTTCAACTGGCGTGCATTCTCATCCTCTCCGCTACCACCTAGCATGGGAACAAAACACAGCAAGTATCATTATTCTCATTACGCACATTGAAAAACTGAGCCGTGAAGAGGTTTAAGAAATTGACTCCAATGTGTAGCAAAAGCTATCACTTTTAGTTTTCCACTCTACCAGACTGGACCAAGACACATTTCATAATTCAGCGCACATTTTATAATTCCGCTGATGGGAAAATGCTACCAGAGATGGGGAGGAATTTTTTTGAACGGCGGGAATCTCCTGGCAACTCCTAAGAAACCAGGGGTACTATAATTCACTTAAAGTTCTATGATGTGCAGGAAAACCTTCTCAGCTATAAATGGCCTACAGATGCCCAGAGGCAGCATCAATATCAGAACCTAGAGTTAAAGCAATGGATAGAAAGGCCAAGACAATCACATCCTGGGATTTTTATTGGTGTGACAATAGCCCAAGATTATGGAGCAGCCAGGCCCGTGGCCGTCTTTAAGAAGGACGCCAAGAGAACTGACAGTTATGTTAGCTGACATGAATATCCACAGCTGTCATCTCCTGGACCAGCTGCTACATCAAATCAGCCATCCTCTGAGGCAGCTGACTTTCGAGTTCAGAGTGTCTGGCTAAGACTACGCGTGTCTCATGGCTTAAGGGCCAGCCTTAGTAACTGCAGCTGCCAGGGTCCATGGCACCACACAGAGATCATGATGGCGCATCCTGGGGTTCATCTGAATGCTGGCTATGAATCCAGTGTATGTGTAACAGTCCATTTTAAAATGTGTCTCTGTTGTGGGAATTCTCCAGGTTGGTGTGGGACAGAGAAAAGCCTCCACTTACATGTCTCTTTGTCTTTCTAATTCCCTTATGCATCATCGGGCTATCCATATCTACTCCCTGCCACCCCCCTGGTCCCCCCCCCATCCACTATCACACCACAGAATATGTAGTCTCTATAACAGAAATGGGATCGTTTTTCCATCTCTTCACTCTACTTGGAAAATAGCACAGTGCTCAAGGAGCTTAAAACAATGTCATTTTTGATGTTAGAATATGTTAAGGTCAGGAGTGGTGGCATACTCCTTTAATCCCAGCACTCAGGAGGCTGAGACAGGAGGATCTCTGTAAGTCCTAGGCCAGCTTGGTCTACACAGTGAATTCCAGTACAGCAGTACAGTGACAGCCACATAATGAGACCCTGTCTTAAAAAAGAAAGAAAAGGCAAGGAGTTTATTCATTAAATATCTATGATTATTAAGTCAAATTTAATAATAATAGCTATTTTAAATGTATGGACACTTGAGTAAAAGAGTTTAAATGACTATGCGACTACAAATGTACCATTTCTTTGAGTTAATCTCTCTCTCCCTCCCTCCCTCCCTCCTTCATACCCTCTATCTCTCATTTTGAAACAATGTTGTTTGTAGCTCAGGCTAACCTCAAACCCTCATTCCTCCTGCCTCAGCCTCCTGAGTGCTATAATCACCTCTGTGCTGCCACATTCGGCTTTAAAAGTCTCTTTACGGGGCTGGAGAGACGGCTCAGAGGTTAAGAGCACTGACTGCTCTTCAAGGGGTCCTGAGTTCAATTCCCAGCAACCATATGGGGACTCACAACCATCTGTAATGAGATCTGGTGCCCTCTTCTGGCCTGAAGACAGAACACTGTATACATAAGAAATAAATCTTTAGGGGAAAAAAAAGTCTCTCTACAAAATAATTTATTCTGGTTTATATGGAAGCAACATTACTCATTGCAGCATAGAAAATAAAGCCAAAGCCGAATGCTTCACTATTGTGCTAGTTAGTTTTCTCATCACCGGGACAAAGGAGCAACTTAAAACAGGGAAGATATATTCAGATGTTGTGGAATAATCCTCTTGTACACTGTAAAGATTTGTCACTCAAATTGGTTTAATAAAATGCTTATTGGCCAGTAGCCAGGCAGGAAGTATAGGTGGGGTGACCAAACTAAGGATGTTGGGAAGGAGAAGGGCAGGGTCAGGAGTCACCAGACAGATGCAGAAAGAGCAGGAGACGAATGTACTAATAAAGGTACTGCCACATGGCAGTGTATAAATAAGTAATATGGGTTAACTTAAAATGTAAGAGTTAGCTAGTAACAGGCCTGAGCTATCAGCTGAGCATTTATAATTCCTATTCAGCTTCTGAATCAGTTATTTGGGACTGGGTGGTTGGGACAGGAAAACTCCATCTGCATTGGGACCCGTGGTTTGAGGAGATACAGTCCATCATGACAGGAAGGGCATGGCACCAGGAGCAACATGGAGCAGCTGATCACATTGCAGAGAGAGAGGGGAATGTTGATGCCACGTTAGCTTTCCTTTTTCCATCTCTGCTCAGTCTGGGTCCTCAGTCTTTCATACGGTGGGTCTCCTCATCTCAGTTAAGTCTCCCTGGAAAACCCCTCACAGACATGCCCAAAGGTATACGCCGTTAATGCCCTGGGACTCTCCAATCCTATTTACAACCAAAACTAACCTTTCTTACCTGGAAAGTCCTTATGTTAAAAATAACAAAATAAAAGTAAGCAGACTTGGACTGAAAGTTGTTCAAGTGTCTGGAACCTTGAATGTATTAGATGTGATACTTGGTGTAAAGCCATGATGCTCCACGGGATGCTGCTACATGTTTGGAAGATGTCTGGCTCCTAAATCTGCATGTGAGAAAGATGCATCTGAGACCCCTGCATGTATACCACGTTAAGCATTAAGAAATGTCTCCTTTTTACTGTCAGGCTTGAGAAAGAGATCCAAGACCTTGAAAGGGCTGAACTGCAAATCTCAGCCAATGAAGAGGCAATTCTAAAGAAGCTAAAATCGATCGAGCGGACGACCGAAGACATACTAAGAGTGAGTGAGACTCAGTTTTAAACAATGATGCCCTCTCAAAAGAACCCACAAAAGCCATGTCTTCCAAGCATTTCTAGATTTAGATTTTATTTTTTTTTAAACTAAGTTCATCATGGAAATCTTTTATCTTACAGTCTGTGAAGGTGGAAAAGGAAGAAATCCCAGAAGGTATGTCTTTAAGCAACCTGTTCCATGTCAAAGCAAGGTAATTTTCATAAGATCACTGGCCTTGTTTCACTAGTAGAGATATCTCACATGTATTTCGAATTCATATCAACTTTACAGAGTCAATTGAGGACATCTATGCTAACATCCCTGACCTTCCAAGTTCCTACGTACCTTCCAGATTAAGAAAGGAAAGAAACGAAGGACAAGATGATGATGAACAGAATAGAAAAGGTATTTGTGAACCTGCATTCAATGCCACGTTCTCAATTTCAGTGTGTGCTGAGTGTAGATATGCACGTGCCACAGCATTCACATAGAGGTCAGAGGACAATTCTCAGGAGTCAGTTCTCTCCTCCTCCCTTGTCTGAGGCAGGATTTCTCTGGTGTCTGCCAATGCGCAGCACACTGCAGGCTAGCTGACACATGAGTTTCAAGCCACTTCTCCTGTCTCTGCATCCGGCCTCACCTATGGACAGGTGCATACCATCACATCTGCCTTTTTTTATGTTGGGTTCTAGGTACTGAACTAAAGTCATTAGGTAGCAAATTTCTTCCCACTGAGCCCTGTCCTTAGTCCTCAATTTTAGATTTTATATTAAGTCTTCACAGCTTGCTTGTGTTTCCAGGTTAGGCAATTTAAGGTCCATTTTACAAAGTTCCCAGGGCTACGGGACAGTTCCAGGACTTGCACAGTTAGGGAGAAGGAGGTGAAGTATTTATTCCCTACCAACATAGGCAGGAAGAAGTAAGATAAGGTCTGAAACAGGCAAGGAACGCTTCAAAACCTCTCTGCTCAAAAATTTCATCCAGTAGATGTTGAGTTACTAAAAACATTTTGAAGTGAAAATGTCCCCTTGGAAAGCTTGGGCCTTATTTATCTTCATGGGATAACGATTTTCATATTTTAAAGTCCCTGAGAAATGAAGGCTCAGCCAAAGAGGAGAACTTGGAATTTTAGAATTGAAGGGGAAGCTACTCTCTGTCTGCAGGTAGCAGTCACTTATTCACGCAACAGATATTTCATGAATAACTGCTCCACACCAAGCTCACTTAGGCACACGGTCGGTATTCACTAAATCAAACGTTCAGGGAGTACAATGCTGAAGAAGGAGGTAGAGATGTGAGGCAGGGAGAAGATGGGTGGAGATCTTGCAGGTTTAATTGGGTACCCAGGGAGAGCCGCGGCCCGTCAGGACACAAGAAGTGTAAGATGAGCTGAAGGAAAATAGGAAGACATACCAAGAGCAAGGACTGACGCACCAGAGTTCTACAAAGAATGCTGTCCCCTTCCACTGTTAAAATTCCATCCGCGGGGCTCCTGCCTGGCTCACGAGACAGACGTTGGCTCCCCCCAACACATTCACCGGTCACCTCCAGTTGTCTCAGCACAGTTGTGACTGCTCTACTGTAAGCCCTTCATCTGCTTGAACGTGGTCTTAAATTAGGAGGATAAAAGGGAGGCAGCTAGAGAGAAGACCCGGCGATTAAGAGCACCTGCTGCTCTTGCAGAGGACCCAGGTTCAATTCCCAGCAGCCACATGGCAGCTCACAAACGTCTATAACTCCCATTCCAGGTGGTCTGGTGCCCTTTTCTGGTGTCCTCGGGCACCAGACGTACACATGGTGCACAGACATACGTGCAGACAAAACACCCATACACATAAAATAAAACATTTTTTTTTTAATTTTAAAAGACAGAGAGAGATGGGACTCTAGGCTTCCACATTCTTCGGGTACAGTGGCACATCTAAGCATTCCCTATACTGTGGCGACCTCAGAGCACTTTAATTTCAGTAGGCAGCTAAGCTTGCCCCAGGGATGTGACAACGAATTACCCTGCTAGGTGTTTTACCTGCTGCAGCCCACAGTGTGACTGTCCTCCCAAAGCAAAGAAGGCAGATTAATAAGTAAACCAAAGAGTCTAAGTCTGGCTGGTCACTTTGGTTCTCTGGGAAAATACCAGCTATGTGGGTCTACTCTCTTCCTCACTCCTCCAAATCATTTTTCCAAAATTCTACACTTCCTAAGACACCATGTGACTACATAGTTGGTTGTTATAGAACTAACCAGGGAGGAAATTATGTATGTATTGTTATGCATATATGCATGTGTGCCTGCAGGTCCGCTGGGGGCCAGAGGGCATCAGATCCCTTGGAGATGGAATTATAGGAGGTTGTGAGCCTCCTAGCCTGGGCACTGGGAATGTAACTCTGGCCTTCTTGTAGAGCCATCTCTCCAGCATCCAAATCAGAAGGGGTTTGGGGGAAGTTATTTTGCTTTGTTTTGTTGGAGACAGGGTTTCTCTGTGTAGCCCTGGCTGTCCCGGAACTCTCTCTGTAGGCCAGACTGGCCTCTAACTCACCGAGATTCACCTGCCTCTGCCTTTCCGGATGCTGGGATTAAAGGTGTGCGCCACCACTGCTGGGTTAGAAGTTTCTAAATGTCACCTAAAAGACCACCAAAGAGTGTAAAAGCAAACAGACTGGTTTATAAGAGAAAGCCAGTACTTACATTTGTATTAAACTTGTCTTTTAACAGCTTTGTATGCCATGGAAATTAAAGTTGAAAAAGACTTGAAGACTGGAGAAAGCGTTGTTCTATCTTCAATCCCCCTCCCATCAGATGACTTTAAAAGTACAGGAATAAAGGTATACGACGATGGGCAGAAGTCAGTCTACGCAGTCAGCTCCAATCAGAACGCAAGCTACAATGGCACTGACGGCCTCGCACCTGTGGAAGTGGAGGATCTCCTCAGACAAGCCTCAGAGAGGAACTCAAAGTCACCCACGGAGTACCATGAGCCCGTGTACGCCAATCCGTTTTGCAGGCCTATGACCCCGCAAAGAGAGAGAGTAAGCCCTGGACCAAACTTCCAAGAAAGGATAATGATGAAAGCTAACGGACTGGGTAACCATGCAAATGAACCCATGCACAACACTAACAATGCGCTTTCAGAGGGGAGAAGCAATGGCGCCCCTCACACCAGCCCGACTCGGCCAACACCTCAGCCGCGAGCATCCCTTCAGCCAGCAGAAGAGATGGTCCACACCCGGCAAAAGAGGATGGTGGCTCCTTGGGAAGAATCGAACACGGGGCAGAACGAACATGAGGTTTCTCCGAGGACGGGACTGAGCCCCCGCCGAGCAAGCCCCGGGAAGTCAGGACCCCAGGGTTCTTCACCCACTTGCCAGGAGGAGGCTGAAGATGTAAGATATAACATCGTTCATTCTCTGCCTTCTGATGTGGACAACACAGAACCCGTAACGATGATTTTCATGGGGTACCAGCAGGCAGATGATAATGAAGAGGAAAAGAAGCTTTTGACAGGATATGACGGGGTCATCCATGCTGAGCTGGTCGTGATTGATGACGAGGGGGAGGAGGAGGACGGACAAGCTGAGAAGCCATCCTACCATCCCGTAGCTCCCTGTAGTCAGGTTTACCAGCCAACCAAACCAACCCCACTTCCTAGAAAGAGATCGGAAGTTAGTCCTCATGAAAACACAAACCATAAATCTCCCCACAAAAATTCCATATCTCTGAAAGAGCAAGAGGAACGCTTAGGCAGCCCTGCCCGCCACTCTCCCCTGGGTGTTCCAATGGCTGGAGATGGGACTGAGGATCCATCCTTAACAGGTAATAAAAATGACAAGGCATGCCACTGCTGTTTACTCATGTGACAGTCTTCTCTGTGGTAATGAGCGTTCTGACTTTCAGCTTCTATGACCGCCTCATAAACTAATACGCGCTGACAGCTTTTAATAACGCTGAATTATCATCAAAGCAAAGTAAGTCACTTCAAAAAGTAATGAAAGTGAAAACTGTGTCTTGCTTTGTTTTAATATTGCATTGACCGCCCTTAGTTACTGGAAATGTGTCTTCTGTGAGGGAGCAATACCATATGTGAATAACTGGGGAAGCTAATTAACATCCTGATCATCAGAAGCATACTTTCCCCAGCAGAATCCAATGATGACTACTTGCCTGTGCCTCCTGTGACTTACACTTTACTAATAAGTTAACAAGTAGCCTTAATTTTGCAAAGAAATAGAAAACATGTACTATTTTCTTCTCATTTTATTACTCAGCTATATCTCCTTTCTCTATACTTTTATTTTATTAGCTTTGGTTCTTTAATTTTCTACACTTTAAACATAGAATGACATTTTATCTTGCATTATCTATGACTCAACTTTTCATAGTTTTCTCCAACTTAGCAGATTTATTTTTTCTATTTTCTATATAGCTACATTTCTCATTCTCTATGAAATTTTTATACCTTTGTATCTCTTTAGCTAGCTCAATATTGAATGAAAAGTAACTAACACTTTTTCTACAAAACAACAGCTCCTCAATTTTAAATTCCTTGTTATAGCTCGAATATAGCAAATGACAAAAACAATTAGAATAACTGAGCAAACCCTAGCTAAAAATCTAAGTCAAATTGCACAAATACACAGGTTCTAAATGTTAAAAATGGAAAGTAATTTTAAATGTTGCTAATTGAAGAATGACCATTAAAAAGCAATAACTACTCAGTAGCAGACAGCCCAGTTAGTATAAGTTGATAGTTTTTTAGAAGTGTGGCAGAAATTCAAGATGTTTCTTCCTCATCAAACCATAAGCCCAATCTTGTGTTGCTAATAACACAATATTAGGGACATTCTTCCATTCTTCTAAGTCCTTGAATTAGGTGAACCCATTGTGAGCTTCATCATCTGAAGAATTCCTCCCCTCTTGAGAAATGTCGACTCGTATATCTTCCTCAGACTCTGGAGTAATGTTCCCCACAATGGAAAGCTGCAGATAGTACGTTCCTTTCCATTTGGAGAATGAGCGTTGTTTACAGTCAAATGTTTCCTTTGAAATTCATTCTTAAAACAATGCACAAGGCACAGAGACAAGGAACACCCTATTTTATGGTCAGTTACATAGACCTGAACCACTGTAAAAAACAAAAGCAAAAACTCCCTTTTTGATCTTGGATATTAGCCAGCTCCTCCCCAACACCCTTACTCCTTCTCCCCTGAACACATTAACGTTTACCCCTAGAAAAATGACAGGAAGTGACTAACATTTCCAGACAACACTAACCATGCTACTGAACTAAAATTAGGAAAACAGGAAAACCTATGCCAGACAAAGTAACAATACAAAGTCTTGTACTATCAAACTAAATATCTCGTAAAGAGAATGCTCCAGATTCCTTACATTTCATTGTGATGTTGTTCTATGTCTCAGCCTTCCAAATCATCCCATGGATTAGAGTGGAGGTATTTAGTATGGGTGAGTTTTACAAAATAAATCAATCACCAAAAAAAAAAAAAAGCCAGGCGGTGGTGGCGCACGCTTTTAATCCCAGCACTCAGGAGGCAGAGCCAGGTGGATCTCTGTGAGTTGGAAGCCAGCCTGTGCTACCAAGTGAGTCCCAGGAAAGGCGCAAAGCTACACAGAGAAACCCTGTCTTGAAAAACCAAAAAAATAAATAAATAAATCATACTATGCTTTCAGGGACCATCTACATACATTAAGAACATAGCTACCTATGTACTTCAATTTCACAAGTACATTTTACATTGTGATTTCAACATTACACACACCATACACACAGAGAGAAATGATACAGTACTTAAAAACCCACAATTTAAGTCAATTCCTTTATTAAAGTACAAATATCCTATTAAATGCTAATAGCTATGGTAGATACAATAATAAGGAATTATCTTTTCACTTGTTATACATATAGTTATCAAAATCTTGTCTCAAAAGCAGTTTGTGGGGATGGGGAAGATAGCTCAGTGGGTAAGAGCACTTGGTCTATAAAATAAGGGCATGAGTTTGGTTCCATCCACCCACAGAAAAAGCCAGTCATGGGTGCGCATGCCTGTAACCCCACCGTTGCAGCAGAGATAGGCAGATCCTGGGACCCTGCCGGCCACCCATCCTAGCCAAAACTGAGTTTCTGATTCAGGGAGAGACCCTGTCACAAGGCAACAAGGCATGGAGTGATAGAGGCAGCCACCTGAGGTCCTGCTTTGGCCTCCTCTGCACGCCAGTGCATGCATCTCTCTCTCACACACACACACACACACACACACACACACACACACACACACACACACACGTGGTTTTAACTGGAAAAACTGTATGTAGAAGGAAGAAACACAAAAACTTGTCCAGTGTGGATTGTCTAAAGACAGTATATTTTAGTAAAAATTTGAACACTGTTAAAGATGACAGAAAAACTTAGGTAATCTTATGCCTATCTGCTTGATATGGTCCAGACACACCCACTATTGTGTGGCTTCCAAAAGCTTTCCATGAGATCCCACTTTCCCCAACAACAACAACTAGACAGCTAAGCTTGCTTCAGTAGCCGTAGTCTTGTTCCAGCTCAATATTCTATGGTCTTAGAGATGTCAATGGCACTTGGGATGAAGAGGTAGAAAAACCTTAGCTCTGGAGCACTCACACACCATTGATTCAGAAACTGCCAGTAGAGGTCAATGAAGAAGACTGAGGGTGAACCACAAATCTCTCTTCCAGCAAGTTTAAACAGCTAAAAGTGTCTGTCTGTGTGGCTGTAGGGAAACAGGACTGGGATTCAGAGAAGAGCAGGAAAGAGGGGCAAGAGAACCAGGGGTACAGTGTTTGGGGAGCCGCTCCTTGCATTGTCTGGGCATGCTCCATCTCCACACCTCCAGCTGTAATTAGGGCTTGGAAGAAGGAATGCTGGGGCTAGCTGACTTCACTGCGGGTCCTGGGACACAGGGTGGGCTCTATTTCCAGACTTGTGAGATGAGGCGTAACTATAGGGAAGAGGATTTTTGTCCCTGCCTTAAAACAGACCTTTAAACAATCCCTTATCCCTGCTCTCTCCTGGCACTGGTAATGCAAGGGGCCACAAAATCCAAGAGCAGCCCTTCCTGAAGCCCTGCCTCCTGCCTGTTCTGCTGTGGGACTGCGGGCTGCTCCTCAGAGGTCACCCACCCAGCAGCTCCCAGCAACAGAGCCTATCCTGCTGACTGAGCAAAGGAAATTCTCTCAACACATCCTGAAGTCAAAGGAATATTCTTGGTCTTGCTGTTAGAAGTGATCATTCCTCTTCTCTTCCAAGGGAAAACAATGCTTTTTACCTTCCTTGAAATGAAACTATGTCACAGACATATGAAAATGACCTCAAGACAGTAGCAGGTCCCCATCTCTTCTTAGGTTTTTGTAAAAGGCCTCTTAGAGATAGGATCATTTCTTTGGTTATTAGGTAATAATGTGTGACACAGAGATGGGAAGAAAAAAAAAAACATGTCTTCCCTTTTATTGTTTCATTAAAACAAAATTGTGCAATTAGTTAAATGGCTGCTTCTTGGGCCATTTTACACACGAATGTAATATTACATAATTAATATAATCACTTGCTCAGTGCCTTGAAAGCATCTTTCAACTTTTGGAACATGATTGAGACAGCTCTGCTCAAAGGCCCTAAATATTAAGACGTGATACCAGAACACCAAAGGAGTATTATAAATTCCACACCTACACTTTTTAAAATGTTTTCTACAGTCAACACTTCTTCAGCAGTAGAACATATGCAAAGATACACCTGCCATTCGAAAACATAATTACACATTAATGCTTAATTATTAGTTCACATTGTTTCATACATAAATTTATTCTTGTCATTGCATATCCAAAGGTCGGAGAGCCTTTGGACAACCAAGCTTAATGAGATTTTTTTTAAAGATCTAATCACTAAATATAGTTTAAGTATTAGTATCTTTTTTGTTCAATAGTACATAGTTAAGGATATGCACAAAACTGATGTAAAGGAATATGTATCTAGGCTGATCGTGAAAATATGTAACATCCACCTATACTGTGTTCGCTCTGCTCATTTTCGTGACCTTTGTAGATGCAGGTTCCTCCTAGTTCTCAACCTACCCCTGCCCTAAGTTAACCAGAGCTCATTATTTCTACTATCTTTTTATGCTACTAAAACAATGCTCACGCTGTTGGATAAAACCATCTGAGGTATGTTCTCACCTTTCCTGCCTTCTATGAAATGGTCATTCAGAGTAAAAATTATGATTCTTTTATAACTTGCTTTTTTTTTACTTTAATTTACAGCTTTAAGGATAAGAATGGCAAAACTGGGGAAAAAGGTAATCTGAGCTGTAGTGCCCACCTGAGGAACCTTCGGAGAAGCAGCCAAGAAATGCCTGAAAATTTCTTTTCTGAATACTTTTATTTCTTTTTCCTAAAGTCCAAATATATATATAATTATACCTATAGTAAGCCACATAAATAAATAGTAGTCATTATTTGTGGAAAAATACCCCCAAAAACTGGGGAAAACAAATGCTAACTTTTCCAGTTACTTGACATGACTCAGTGGGTCGGGGGAACCAATATATTTTTATTGTATTGATACCAAAGCATTTCTAATAAGAGCTTGTTAAATTTAAGAATAAAGTTATTTAAAATACCTTGACTATCTTAACTGGCATTGTAATGTTGCTAACGCAAAGATCATACATAGGTGCACCTCATCCCAGACTCTCTAAAAGTCAATAACTCTTTAAGGTAACTGAATTCTCACACCAAAGATCAATTCAGTTGGCTCAGTTGGGACTCCAAACCATCGCATGCCTCCAAAAGGCATAGATAACAATTATGCTTACATTTTGAGAGTGTGGTGCTTAGATCATTTTGCTAATACACATGACCCTTTAGGAGAGAACTGGCTCATTCATTCTTCTTCAGGTATCACCATCCTCTCTTTAACTCAGTCCAGTGTGCAATAAACAATTGTAGGTTAAGGGCAGGCACTAAGAAAGAACTCCCCATAGTCTCAAAGGGCACAAATCTGGTCTACATGCACAAGTTAGAATCTTCAAATTAAAACTAGAAAGAGGGGAAGAAGGGAGATGGCTCAGTTGGTAAAAGTGTTCGACTTGTAAGCACAAGTTCAGTCCCCAGAGTCCATGTGAGTGTTGAGCATGGTGGCAGGTGCTTGCCATCCCCGCGTGGGAGATGCACAGACAGGAGAATCTCTGGAGCTCATTGGTCAGCCAGTCTGGCTTAGTTGGTGAGTCCCAGTTCAATGAAAGACCATTCTCAAAGGAGGTAGACAATGTTCCTGAAAACAGCACTCTAGATGGCACTCCATGTATGCATGCATGTGTAGCTACAAATTCACACACACACACACACACACACACACACACACACACACACGAAAAAAAAAAAAAAAGGAGCATGTATAGCAGCATGCCATTCCTAGGTATTCTTCCAAGGTGTTCAATCCTGATTTGAAAGAGAATATTTCTGTGCCAATGATTATCCTGTCCTCCATCTAACATCCTCAAGACTGCTCCCCCTTGGGACTGGAGAGGTAGCTCATCAGTTAAGAGCACTGGCTCTTCCAGAGGACCCAGGTTCAATTCCCTACTTCCATATGATGGTTAGCAGTGGTCTGTAACTCCAGTTCCAGGGGATCAAAAGCTGGTCAAAAGTAGGTACTGTTTGTGTGATACACAGACATAAATGCAAGCAAAAGTACTCATGCACATAAAAATAAATACATTTAAAAAATAAAGATTGCTTCTACATGTCTTTCCCTAGACTGTCATACAGGTATGCATTACCCAGGTCCTCCAAGTTGAGTGACTAGCCTGTTTCCTCCCAGGACAGACACTGACTTTCCCTGCTGGAATGCTGTATGGTAAGGCTCAACCTGTGGATCGTGACCATTGGAAAACACATATTTCTAATGGTCTTAGGAAGCACCAACCATAAATTTATTTCACTGCTACTTCATAACTGTAATTTTGCTACTGAGCAGTGTCTCTGTTCCTCAGACCATCCGAAATATGTATTCTCCTATGGTGGCCACTCACAGGTTGCAAACCTCTGCTCTAGAGGCAAAAAGAGGTAAGGACAGTAAGTCCTCTCAGGAAGACAAGCATTAGCCCACGAAGCTGTCTCAGATGAGTTGTTTTCCAAAGGCCAGCTGTTCTCTGGCAGGAGAGAGCTCCTTCTGCCGGCCTGGAAGATCCTGGGCAACCAAACGGTTTACATTGCTGAGATAATCTCAAAAGATACCCTACTCTGGGTTCAAGGGACTCCTTCATTTCATGGTTCTGGCTTTAGCATGAGTGAGTGACCTGCAAATTAGCCTTGTGTGGTCCTGCCGCTTCCAAGCTTGCAGTATGAGTTTTATTTTAAACACAGTCTGCAACACATGACGCTAGGTATGCCTTGGAACCTCTCCGGCTTCCTGGCATGTCCTAATAGTTGGCCAGTCTTGCCTGAATTCTTTTTCTTCAAGATTTCTGAGACAATTATCAAGAAGGAGATAACTTTGAATTGCATACAGGTCAGTCCTTGGCAATGCATTTGTCCCAACCAGTCAAATTCAAAGCTACTACAGATCTAACTGTTCTGGGTTTGCCCCCATCATCCCAATGCAGTGCAAGTGTGGTTCTTGGGAACTGTCACAGCACAGCCTGCCAGGGGCTGTCACCATCTACTTACCACCTTCATTGCCATCTGACCAGTGACTAGACACTCCTCCTGGAACTAGTGATGTCTTGAAGAAATGATCTCAACGGCAGGAAGAAAGACACAGGTGAGAACGGCCTGTTCTCAAATGTAGGGCAAGATAGTGCTGCAGGCAGCTAGGCTGGCTTGGACCTGAACTCCAAACCCTGAATACATCTAACTATGTCTGTCTGAAGGGGGGGATGCTGGAAACCCGACCCACAGCTCCGCTCCCTCTTGAGGGTCCCTACTGTCAGGGCTGACTCTCCCACACTTTCAGATTGCACTTCCAATGAAGACACACCGGCTCCTGCAGCCTTGGAGATGGTTCCGAGTGAGAAAAAAGACACGAGCACAGGACACGTCGTGGAGACCGTGGCAGCGCATCAACCTTCTCGGGCGGTCCAATGCAATCGTGGCAGAGACACCAACAGCACCCGCCACACTCACTGTTATCACTCAGGCAAATAACCTTCCCTGGACTTGGTCTCTTATCTCGAAAATGAGGCCAGTTGATGTCACATGCCCGGCAGGGTTGTCTGAGGACTCGGTAGGTCAGTCAGTGGACTATATCAAGTGTCCCAGCCATAGTCAATTTTGGCTGAGAAGCCACATAGCTAAGGCTAGCCCCACAACACCCCTCGTTGTACACTTTGATGTTTTATAGGTTTAGTGCTTACGTTAGAAAAATAAATGTTTATGGAAGGGTAAATAAAACAAGAGGTAGGGCGAGCCAGGTGTGGGGCACAAGCCTTTGGCCACAGCACTCAGGCGAGCAAGGCAGGGGCACCTCAAATTCAAGGCTAACCTGGGCTGCCTTGTGAAACTGTCTTGAGAAATTAAAAAACAAAAATCAAATGAATTTTAAAAATAAGAGAGATTAAGGTAATCTTCCCCAAGAGGTCTTCAGTTGCTGTCTCATTTAGGGTTTCTATTGCTATGAAGAGACACCATGACCATGGCAACTCTTATAAAGGGAAACACCGAAAGTGGGGTCGGCTTGCATTTCAGAGGTTTAGTCCATAATCATCATGGCAGGAAGCATGGTGGACATGGTGCTGCTGAGGGAGCTGAGAGTTCTACTTCTGGATCCACAGGCAGCAGAAGAGAGAGACACTGGGCCTGGCTTGAGCTTCTGAAACCTCAAAGTCCACCTCCAGTGGCACACTTTCTCCAAGAAGGCCTCACCTACTCCAAAAAGGCCACACCTCCTAAGAGTGCCACTCCCTACGCATCTATGGGGGCCATTTTTATTCAAACCACCATAGTTGCTGCAGCTCTGATTGCTTAAAAACTGTATTTCCCACATTGAATTACTCCCACATTTTTGCTCAAAATCTATTTGCTTTTTAAGTGCTGACCTTCAGACAGATGGAGTCTCTAGCTTCATTCAAGTATATCCATCATGCCACATTTTACCTCTAGTTGCTAATATTATACCTTTGTAGCTGGGTGGTGGTGGCGCGCGCCTTTAATCCCAGCACTCAGGAGGCAGAGCCAGGTGGATCTCTGTGAGTTCGAGGCCAACCTGGGCTACCAAGTGAGTTCCAGGAAAGGCGCAAAGCTACACAGAGAAACCCCGTCTCGAAAAACCAAAAAATAAAAAATAATACTACACCTTTGTAATAAGAACACAGATCAAGCAGGGCAGCAGTGGCACACGCCTTTGATCCCAGCACTCAGGAGGCAGAGCCAGGCTGATCTCTGTCAGTTCAAGGCCAGCCTGGTCTACAGAGCGAGAAGCACCAAAACTACACAGAGAAACCCTGTCTCAAGAAAAGAAGAAGAAGAAGGAGAAGGAGAAGGAGAAGGAGAAGGAGAAGGAGAAGACAGATCAAATAATGGTGGGCCTTCCAAAACTTGTTGGGCTCAATCAATCAAATCTACCTATCTGCCTCTCTGTGTGCATCTCTTTCTCTTTCTCTCTCTCTCCCTCTGTCTCTCTCTCTCTCCCTCTGCCTCTCTCCCTCTCTCTGCCTCTGTCTCTCCATTCTCCCCCTGCTCCCCACACACCTAGTCTGGGCTGTGATTGACTTTGTATATTTCCGTTGTACACCTGCTGCAATCAGTGTCTTATAGCACACTGTTACTAAAGTCACATGGTTCTTTCAGATAGTCTCAGTTTTTGCATAACATTCCTTTATAGCTCAGAACCCATCTAAAAAGCCACAATGTTTTTAGTTAGTATGTGTCCTTGGCCTTCTCTTGGCTGTGACCATTGGTTCAGACTTCAGCTGTTTTAATGACACCAGCAATTCTGAAAATTGCTGGCTAGGTATTTTGTAGGACATGCCTCCATTACGTACTTTCTGGTTTTTTTGTTTTGTTTTGGCTTTTTTTTTGTTGTTTTGTTTTTTGAGTTTAAGCTGGGGCTGTGGATTTTGAAGAAGCTTACAAATATAAAATGAAATTTTCATCACATATCAAGGGCACACGTTCTTTCAACATGATTGACAAGTGCTGATGTTCCCTTTGATACGCTGGAATCCTCAGAAGAGTGTTGGACTATCATCAAAGCTATTCTCTTCCCCTTTGGGAGGAAGACTGTCCGCTTTGAAGGAGTAGAGTTTGAGTCCTCTCCTGGAGATCTGAGACACTACACAATATTCATTTACAATTCTTCTAGGCAAATTTAGCTGTTTTTATCAATATTTTCGTTAGTTTATTTAAGTTACTATGAACAAATAAATCATTTATCAGCCGAGATATTTTACTGCTCAAATTGTTCAAGTTTTGGCCATTGAAACTTCTTACCATTGTATGTTGTAATCCTCCCGTAGTAGAGACAGCTCTTCTACCCAGGACCTTGAAGCACCGCCCCTACAGATGTAGCAGGTAACTGCCCTTCCTACCTATGACCTTGACGTACCTGCCCCTAAGGCGTGGCTCAGAGCTACCCTTATGACCTAAGATGCATGCAGGCTTTCCCTTCTCTCCCTCCTGGGCATG